AACTTCTCTGCTCGTCGACAGAGGTGGATCGATTTTATTGGCCGTGGTGAATGGAAGCTTGTATTGGTTAAGGGAGAATAAATTTCGATTCCTGTTTTGTTTGGTGGTAGATTATTTCGCTAGTTCAAAATAACAGAGGTGATTGATTAAAGCGATTCTTATAAAATCCAGCCCTGTCGTGTCGTCCATGTCGGTATGACCATAGGCCCCGCCTACTCATACAAGTTCATAGTGCACGTCACAAGTCTTGTTACGCTCATTTATTATCTTCATGGAGGGCATCAAGGAAAATTAGTCCTCACGTCACAGCGGGTCAAAAGAACAAAGAAGTTTCAAAATTTACCACAATCCCCAATCTGAGTGTTCGGAGGCCCAGGAGAGCTAGGCAAAGTGATTTTAAAAAACGCATTAAACGAAAGTTGCATCGATTTCCGGCTTAACCGAAAGTGAAAGTTACAATGTGCGACAGAACAGATCGTAATGTCACATATAAAATTACATTTGGCAAAGTTTTCGAATCTCGCCAAATAAAAGAGATGTTGAGGTGACCCTCTTATTTCGAACGCACTGTATAAGCGAGAACGTGGTCCGCACATAGGGGGCGGTCGAAAATGAGGGTAATGTACTAGCCGAGGCACTAGCCTACAACACCACCTCACCCCATCCTATATCTATCGCATTTTTACATCAGAAGTGGGATGTATCCAAATCCCGAGTTCGAAAAAAGTGTGGTGTGTGAGGGGGAATGCGATGCATCTCTCTTCAGAAGACAACAAAGTTTCAGACAAATTTTGATTTATTTGTGCAACAACACTTAGCCGAAATCCTTATAATAGTAGGGAACAATAAACAATTTTCGTCTATATCTCTCGTGTGAGTAGGGGCACTAGTGAAAATTCTCTCTCATTTTCCCTTTTCAACCACGCCTTATGTACCCACTTCCTTTTTCGGGTTCGAATCGACTCTTCTTCCTTATCAGAAGCTACAGTAAACATATCTATAATTAGTTGTCTGTAAAATTAGCCATTCCGCAAATTTTCAGAGAAAATCACTAGAATCAGATGACAACTATGACCAACGAGTGGTATGCATATAACGTTATACAGTGAAATTTTTTTAAATGCGAACATAGGAGTTTGCATGCAATGTAATTTCCCTATGTTCGATTTAAAAAAAAACATATCAATCTTAGTCCATTGAAAAGTTACATTTGGGGTTGTGTTTGTCAGAGGACACAATTTTATTTTTTAAATATCAAGGGGGGGTTAGTCTAAAGTTAAATCCAAGTTTGTGGGGTTGCAGCCCTTGTCCCGCGGCCGCCATCTTGAAAAAAGGGGTGCAAATGGTTTTTATGGTTTATCTGACGAACTATTGGTCTCACAAAAAATTTATTCAGACATTTTTGAATAAGAATAAAATTCTCTACAAGTTTGGTCGAGTAACTTTTAGTCGTATAACCAAAAGTAACAAAGTTATAAACGAAAATTGATGAACATTTTGTAAAAAAATTTCAATTGGTCGTTATAACTTTTTTATAGTCATTTTACAAAAAAATAACCTAAAATCATTTTTATAGAGGGGTTTTCAAGGAATATTTTTTATTACAAACTTTTTCAATTTTATTCATTAATTAAGATTTTACAGCGCTACGAAACGAATACAATTCTCTAGATTCATAAAATCAGAGTGTTCATTTTCGAGAATACTGTGCAGGAATAAAAGATAGTAACCGTGTGGGGATAAAAGAACATCTACGTATTAGTGTTGTCTTTACGAGACGGCTGCTCAGAAGACCCCGATGTCGCAGGAACTAAGTCTTGGCACCGTTTGCGTCGCACGAAGAAACATCAGTCGACAGAAGTACAATTCGATAACACCGTACCGACGTTATCACAAGAGAAATTTCTTGGCAATGAGAAGAACAAGGCTAATTTCATTGTACCTATACTTCTCAAAAATTCATTCTCAGAGGTGGGTTTCACTGTCGACCAAGCACAATCCGATGCAGACACCCTCATTGATGTTCGTTCTGCTTTTGTTGCATCCCAATCGTTTGACTCAGTTACTATTGTAGTTGAAGATATCGACATACTTGTGCTGCTCACGACTTTTGGAGCAAAGAAATATATTTTTTTAAACCGTGAAAAGGACGTACAGCCTAGCAATTGTATTCTCCGTCAGGTTTTATGCACGAAAACGTCATTGCGGATAATTGACTGTTTCTCCATGCTTTTGCAGGACGTAACACAACATCATCAGCTCACAACACTGGCAAACTAAAATTTCTCATAACACTGGAGAAACATCCAGAGTTAGCAAGTGGAATAGCGTTGTTCCTCAATAAGAGAATCGATCCTGCTTTGCTCACTATCATTAGTGAACATTTTTTCATCTTTTTATATGGTGGTAATAAAGATGATGATTCTTTTAACAGCATTAGATACAAACGATTCGCCAAATCAGTGACAAAGAGTAGGTACATTTAACTTGTTTTCAATTCCAACGCAGTCTGGTCCATCAAAAAGACTATGGAAACAGTAATTATGTCATTTAGAACATTAGAAAGGTACGTTAAAATCATTAATATTTATGTATAGTTTAACACTGGAGCGCTATAAAATCTTAATGAATGAATAAAACCGAAAAAGTTTGTAATGAAAATCATTCCTTGAAAACTGCTCTATAAAAATGGCCTGATGTCATTTTTTTTGTAAAATGACCAGAAAAAAGTTATAACGACCAATTGAAAATTTTTTACAAAATGTTCATCAATTTTCGTTTATAACTTTGTTACTTTTGGTTATACGACTAAAAGTTACTGGACCAAAGTTGTAGAGAATTTTATTCTTATTCAAAAATGTCTGAACAATTTTTTTGGAAGACCAATAGTTTGTCAGATAAACCATAAAAACCATTTGCACCCCATTTTTCAAGATGGCGGCCGCGGGACAAGGGCTACAACCCCACAAACTTGGATTTAACTATAGACTAACCCCTCCTTGATATCTAAAAAATAAAATTGCGTCCTCTGACAAACGCACGCTAAGCCCAAAAAAATGCAACATTTCAATGGACTATCTATTGAGTAGTTCAAATGAGTAGTAGATACAATTGACAGCTGTCACATTTTTAAAAATACCGCCGTCCAATTTAATTACGAAATCGGTTAGGTTATTGCTTAGATGTCAAGGAGGACACTTCGAACATTTATTGTAATTGTTTTCGGTATTTATTTTCTTATTTTCTTCATTTATGTATTGAATAGATCAAATTAGTGGAATACCAGGTGCACATTACCTACAAATAATTGAAGCTTGGTTCACAATGAGTTGTGGTGTCAGTGCGTGGCCTGTGAGGTCAAGTTATCGTAAGTTTAAGAAAAATGTATCCTAAAGTTGCTATGGGCTCACATGGCTTCTTTAAAAAAATCTTACCGAGTGCTCTTCATCGTAAAAACTATAGAGTTGCTGTTCATAGTCACACAAGTTGCGCGATTTGGGAATATGAACCGCGCACACCTCATAGATTGATGTGTTTTTTAAAAAATACATTGCATGCAAACTCCTATGTTCGCATTTAAAAAAAACTCACTGTATATACTCTTTCCTATGACTGATATGTACGATTTACCGTCACCGATGTTTACTGAATGAGACTGAGCGGAACGGCAACGAAACTGAGACGTGACTGATGTGTGAATAGACCTGAAATCTAAGCGGAGCCTAATAAATTATCCAAATTGTTTACAAAATTTAATGGTGAAGCATCAATTGGCACTTACGAATTACGATTTTGGTAAACATTTTGGTCCATTGAGTATTGACTATCCCAAAATTACCTCTTTTGTTTGGAGATGTATCTTGATCTCGGTCTTTCTATCATTGTGACTTTCTAAACAAGAATTACACAATGCCTTTAAATCCCATGATGTAAAAATGAAACGAAATGACTATGAAGCAGTGGGAACAAGTGAAGGGAGTAATGATGTTACAGGTGATCGGTCTCGCTATTCCAAACAATGTTGTCGGTACTTCGTCGACAAAAACACGCAATTTCAGCACAATAACACTATATACGGAAATAGGTATATATTTTTATTTTTTGTATTACTTTAGTTGGGTACTGAGTAGCAAGTTAGCGGTACGTGGAACGTCGCAATTGTATTGGGTTGGGTCCTGCAAATGATTGAGATTGACCTTATTCCATTAAGTACACAAACAATACCTCAGCTTTAGAGGAAGAGAATCAAAGATGAGTTCGATGACCTCGATTTGCTAATGATATTTGTAAACGCAATCTCCTAGCTTTGCAAGTTAGGCGAAACATTGCGAACGAATTGCAATTTAGTTTGGGCAAAGATCATGATCTTTAGTTTGGAGTAAATCTGGTGCTTTCATCGCGCCGATTATCTGCCTAGTCGAATGTTTTGTAAGGGTAATCATTTCTTCTATTTTTAATAGATAATGGCCAAGACAAATAATAACAAACATTGCCCATCGCAATTATAGTTTGGCCATCCGTTAAATTGAATCGCTCTTCTACGTTGCGCAACCAATTGGCATGTAGGTACCAAAATAGTTTGATTTGTTTGGTGATTACTTGAAGTAATTTCATTTTATAATTTTTTTAAAGTAAGGTCATTAACCGTACTTCGTAGGGTCCACAGTGTATCTCGATTGGCCCTCAATTACAAATAAGTGTTTTGAGAGCGTTACAGTTTCCTAAAAACGATTAAGCCGGTTGGGAGAAATAACTTATTTTTACTGTGAGTAGGTAATCCACCTAGGTGCGAAATTACATTAAAAAAATGATAACGATTACGTACTAATTACATACAGCATACACAGAGAGTGAGAGGGTTTAAATATATCTATGATTTTATTAAATAACCATAAATTCCGTTTATATCTATACTTACCAAAGAGAAAACAATTTTAAAATCAACCACACTCAAATTTCTAATTTCATGACAGAAATTATTTGGGGTATCAAAAACTTACCTACTACAATAATCCTCTGGTAATTAAATTTTATAGAAATAATCACCTATAAAACACAACCGTACTACTTATAACTCAAAACGATGAATGTACGAAGGTTATTTGACTACGTGTAGGAGACACAAACGGGAAGGATGATAAAGTAATTGAAAATGATAGACGTTGCGCAGACGTACCTTCAGGTAGAGTATTTATGCAACCACTCACCTGTCCTACACTACTGCTGTGTGAGTGGCGGATGATCGGTAGGATTTTTATTTTTCTTAAATGTTCTATCGTTTAGTTAATAGAAATCGTTCAATAAGAATCGCTTTTTGCTCAATAATAGAACTGTAGTTTGACAAATTTACTTGAACACAAACCGTTGGTCGTACCCTACCCGGTACCCACTTGAAGCAGTTAGTCTTGCCGGTCTTACTCTTACAAGTAGGAAAGTATACTGTTTCAGTGTTCCAATGAGCCAATCGTCACACATACCTATAGCAAAGAGTAATTATTAAGCATTCTTTGCCTATAGTTACATCATATCTATTTAGATGATATGATATCGAAATCAAATTAAAAGGAAATAAACCCCCGTAAGTACTTGTAAAGGTAGGGTTTTACTCAAAAGTGATACCTCCTTTTAGCGGCCGTCAAAGTACGGTGGGGTGGGAGACGTCACAAAAAACGGTCCGCGTCTTATAAGCACACTGGTTTCACACACCGTAAAGCCTCGGCTACGATACGAGCGGTGCGCGACGAGCGGTAAGCGGCAATTATTTGAGCGGCAAAGCGGCGCCGCTAACACTTTTAGTTGTATGATTCTGTGTCTGAACCGCTGCCCCTGGCTAGGATAGCGTGAAGCGGCTGCCGGCATTATAGCGTAGGCGGTACAACTGAATATCGAGGTAAACGCTGCACTTTGTGACAAAAGCATCAAACTCGGTACACATGTTCATTAGGTCCAATTAAAACTTTTGGCCCGCAGCACCCACCGAAATTTTCGTGTGGGTTCAACATTTGAACACTTTTGTTCAAAAGGGTGTTCAAGGTTTTAACCTGTAAAAATTGATGAATTTCGGCGTTCTAGGGGTCGTTTCTGAATAATTTAGGGTCGCTGGTGTCAATGGCGGCATTAAAAAAGTTGTATATCTGACCCTTAGGCCCCAAATTTGGATTATTTTCAAAATAATGGTTAAATTTTGAATTTGATAGTTTTAACTCTGCGTGATGTTTCGGATGTCGATTCCAGCTAGTTTGGACGTGCACTACACGCTAGAATTGTTATATTGAAGTTACAACAGTTTCTAGTGTGTAAATAGGCCCGTTAATCGTTCAATAATTTGTTCAAAATTTGGAAATTCCATACTTGAAGGATTTTGCCGTTCTTGGTGTCGTTTCCATATAATTTGTGGTTGTTGATGCTGATTTTGTATTCAAAAAACAGATGCGACTCATACCAAGTTAGGATCTTTTCATATTATTTTACCTATTAAGAGGGAATGTTCGCGCAGTCATACCCTTGTTGTCCCGGATTGCAACAACTATTGAATGACAAAGAAAGACGTAAGAGACGGGCATTTCATTAAGATTCGGAAGTGGGCATGTTCTTTGACGGGGTATACCACCTATGCTTCCATTTGTTGAGATTATTAATTAAACCTCGCTGTTATGATACGTAGGTATACATTTATTATGATAAACCTTATTTGTAAAAGAAACAATGAAAGGAAATCTGACATAACCACACAAAACGCGCGAACGCGAACATGTTAAAACTGTTCTGTAAACCATAGAATAGAATGTTGAAGGTCAAACAAATACAAGGTGTTTGCAAAGTAACACACCAAATATTACATATTTCAACACTCCCACCTATTTGAGTGTTACTAACTGAAAACAAAAATCAAAAAGATTTCTACAAATACATATGCAGACATACTCTAATACAGAACAAAATATTTCAAAAATCAACTTAATCTAAAATATTCATATTTTTCAGGCAATGATCTAAAACATTCTTTGTAACAGGTTTAGTTAAAATGTCTGCTAACTGATCACTAGAATTTACATAACAAACACAAATGTTACCCTTTTCAATTTCATCGCGCACAAAATGAACTTTAATGTCTATATGTTTGGTTCGATTATGGAGCTGCTGCGCTTGCGACAGCTTGATAGTTGACTGATTATCAACTTTGATTGTAACCTGGGGATGGTTTATTCCTAACTCCTGCAAAAACGACTTTAACCATAGGGCTTCTCGAACACCTAACGCCAAAGCGATGTACTCCGCCTCGGTTGTAGATTGCGCAACGACTGTTTGTTTCTGGCATTTCCATGTTACAGGGGCATCTGCGAGCATGAAAATATAGCCACTCGTAGATTTTCTTGTGTCTATGCACCCAGCGTAGTCAGCATCTGTGTATCCGAACAGGTTTACGTTGGAAGATTTTGCATAAACAATTTTGTAATGAGAAGTCTGTTTTAAATAACGAAAAATTCGTTTAACTGCTTGCCAATGTTGATCTTGCCAATTATTATAAAATCGGCTTACTTGATTTACTGCAAAGGAAATATCCGGACGACTGCAAGTAGCCAAAAACATCAATGAACCAACAGCTTCACGATATGGTTGATTTTGGCTAGATACTGTATCGACCGAGGCCGACAAAGAAATTCCGGGTTCTGAAGGTACTGACAAAGGTTTAGCAGTGCTCATATGGAATTTTTCAAGGAGTTTATTAATGTACTTTTGTTGATGAATATACACTTTACCATCGGACAAATACTGTTCAATTTCTAGGCCAACAAAATTTAGTTTAGAGTTATTTAAATTTACAACAATTTTGAACATTTGTTGCATATTATGGATCAGTACATTAACTGCGGCTTTTGACCTTGAAAGCAACAAGCCATCATCAACATAGATAGCCAAATAAACTTCACTATCAGCAAAATGACCAATAAAAACACATTGGTCTGTCTTTAGCTGCTTAAAATGATATTTGTTTAAAAATGTTATAAACTTACGGTTCCAACAACGGGCACTCTGTTTTAGACCGTACAAACTGCGGTTTAGCTTGCACACTAAATTATGTTTCTTTTTATTTTCGAATCCCGTTGGTTGTTTCATATACACGCACTCCGATAAGTCACCGTATAAGAAAGCTGTCTGTACGTCAAAGTTCGAAATTGTCATGTCCTTTTCAGTTGCTAAAGCAAGCAAAACACGAATAGAATCATAGCGCACTACCGGAGCGAATGTTTCTTGATAATCAACACCTTTTTCTTGAGTAAAACCGCGCGCGACAAGGCGAGCTTTATAACGTGTAGGTGTACCGTCTGAAGCAGTTTTTATGCGAAAAACCCACTTATTGTCAACAACTTTTGCATTTTCTGGTAAGTTCACTAATTCCCATGTATTGTTGCACTTTAAGGCATTAATTTCTTCTAGCATGGCTCGATGCCATTCCTCGGATTCTGCACAACTTATCGCTTCTTCATAGGAATTAGGTTCAAAAAGTGTACAGTATGCGTAGTCTTCTAAAAATTTAGGCTTCGAAAGCTTGCTTCTGTCTCTCAAAATTCTTGTAGTAGCATCATCTTGCTCAAATTGATCATCTTCGTCGCTGGAATATTTTTCGGACTTGTCGTCTTCAAAGTGTAAGGTAAAGGTTTCCTTTTTTGTTGTAAGTATTTCGAATTCGTTAAAATTAACATTACAGCTAACTTCTATTCTTCTTCTTTCAGAATCCCAGAGTCTGTAGTTCGATGAATGACCATCATAGCCAACTAGCATTAATTTTCGGGACTTCGGATCAAATTTAGTACGGAATTGGTTTGGTATGGCCATATATGCTGTACTTCCAAAAGTTCTGAGATGTTTTAATTGCGGTTTACGGCCAAACCACTTTTCATAGGCGGTCATGTCTGCTACTTGACTATTGGCTGTTCTATTGAGGATATAAACGGCACAATTTACGGCTTCTGACCACAGTTCCTGAGTAACGTTTTTATTTATCAGCATACTTCTAGCACATTCACATATTGTCCTTATCTCACGTTCTGAACGACCGTTTTGCTCATGAGTGTAAGCAGCTGAATATTCTGGCAAAATTCCTGCTTTTTGTAAAACATCTGTAAAAGCTTTACTCATGTACTCCCCACCTCGATCGCTTCGGAGAATTTTAATTTTATTCCCGGTCTGGTTTTCTACGAGGTTTTTATATTCGATGAATTTCTCTAGGACTTCAGATTTTTGCTTAAGAAAATAAACGGTACGATAACCACTACAGTCATCTTTAAAAAGTAAGAAATATGTAGATCCACTTGGTGAAGGAATATTGATTCTGCCACACACGTCGCTGTGAATTATTTCACCAGGTTTCTTAGCTCTTTTAAGGGATAAACTTTTATGTGAGACTTTACACTGCTTACCAAATTGACAACTTTCACAGAAAAACGGTTCTTTATCTGATAACTTTAAATCTGAGACCAAGTCAACTGTTTTCTTAATATAATCGTCATTAATGTGACCGAGACGATTATGCCAGAGTTTGAGCGAATTATTTGTACTTTTAACCGTACTTACATGACATTCAGATGCAGATTTCGGTCGAAATTTCATTATCCACAAGCTATCTTTTCTGTGTCCGGTACAAACAACGTTTTCTTGCTGATCACGAAACTCACAATGATTTTTATACGAATGAAATGTGTAATTTTTATCAGTCATTGCTCCCACCGAAAATAAATTTCGACTAAGTTCAGGGATATATAAAACATTAGTGATTGTTTTATTTTGCCACTTATTGTTCGCGAACACCTCTATTTCAATTTCACCCTTTCCGACCACAGATATTAATTTATCGTTAGCTACTCGAACAAACATTGGTTTATTAATTTCTTGGTATTCAGTAAACCAATCCATTTCGCTGGTCATGTGTACACTGGCACCTGAATCGCAAATCCATTCAAATTTTTGGATGTCTGAGCTTGCACTATACAAGGAAGATATATTGCAAATAAAAGCGGAGCTAGATGAGCTTGAAGGTGCTGAATTGTCATTTTTCTTAAGATTTGATATCCTTTTTCTACATTCTCTGATCCAATGGCCCTTTTTCTTGCAATAATTGCAAACCG